GCCTGATCGCCGTAATTAAAAAATCTATAATATATAGTAATGTATACAGTCTACATCTATGCTGTTTTTGGGAAGGTTTCGTTTGTCCAACTTTGGTTCCGTGCGTCTCTTCTGCTTACTCTAAATAGATACAGCACAAAATTGTAATGAGACCATAAAAGTTTTAAGGGATTTCAAATATATTGTTACTAAGGAATATACCATACTTAGGTTCATAAAGAGTGATGTCTTCGGCTAATAAAATGTTGCCAAGCTTACAGTGCGAGGAAAAAAGGGACGAATTCTGAAATGAAGTAACGTGCTGTAGGTGAACGTGTGACCCGTCCGGCATTGTGTCTGAGGCTAGGCTAGGCAAGAAATCCTTGCGAACGTCTAAGTAACAGAGAATTCGGCCTAAAAGTCTGCAATAACCTGCAATAGAATGACATAATATTGAGGAATTCGCTATTTCAAAATCCTGTTTGGGAGATGTATGGAGCGGATGAAATTATTGTTTTGGCACAGGTCGGTATTTGCTAAAACTGTCCGGCTTTCTGTACCGGTCAGTAGCGCATTTACTCACCTTTTCGGGTGTTTTTTTTTCATAAGACACGAAAAGTACACACATCCTCTAGCATACTTAGGATCATAAAAGTGTGATGTCCACGGCTAATAAATTGTTGCCAAGCTTACAGTGCGAGAAAAAAGGGACGAATTCTAAAATGAAGTACTAGTAACTAACTGTAGGCGTACGTGTGACCCGTTCGGCATTGGTGCCCGAGGTTTAGTTAGAAATCCTTGCGAACTTCTAACTAACATAGAATTCGCCCTAAAAGTCTTCAATAACCTGCAATAGAACGATATAATATTGAGGATTTCGCTATTTTAAAATCCTGTTTGGGAGATGTATGGAGCGGATGAAATTATTGTTTTAGTACAGGACCGGTATTTGCTAAAACTGGCCGGTTTTATTGACCGGTCAGTAGCGCATTGCTTGACAGAAATATTTACCTAGAACTCACCTTTTCGTGTCTTTTTTTTATAAAACACCCGGGAGGAATTGTCTAGCATACTTAGGTTCATAAAAGTGTGATGCCACGGCTAATAAAATGTAGCCAAGCTTACAGTGCGAGAAAAAAGGGACAAATTCTGAAATAAAGTAACGTGCTGTAGGTGTACGTGTGACCCGTCCGGCATTTGTGCCCGAGGCTAGGTAAGAAATCCTTGCGAACTTCTAAGTAACAGAGAATTCGGCCTAAAAGTCTGCAATAACCTGCAATCGAACGATATAATACTGAGGAATTCGCTATTTTAAAATCTTGTTTGGGAGATGTATGGAGCGGATGAGATTATTGTTTTAGTACAGTACAGGTCAGGTATTTGCAGACGGCACCTGGGCAAGCGCGCGGGGCCGTCTAGATCCATTTACCGTGCCGTCACGGGAGGTCATACCGTCGGCACGCCCAAGCAGGCGCTTGGGGCTTTGTCGATACCTTTCCCGCGGTACAGTTACAATAGGTGTCGCCGTAGCCACGCCCAGGCTGGCCCGTGCAAGTTGGGCCGTCTAAATTCATTTACCGTGCAGTCACGGGAGGTCATGCCGTCGGCACGCCCAAGCAGGCACGCGGGGCCGTGTTGATACCTTTCCCGTACAGTTATAAGAGGTCTAACCGTCGGCAGGGCCAAGCTAGCGCGTGGGGCCGTGTAGATCCCTTTACCGTACAGTCACGAGGGGTCATGCCGGTCGGACTGGAGCATAGGGACCGTGTCGGGCTGTTCACCGTACAGTCAAAAGGGGCCCCATGTTTGACCCATACGACACCCATTTACGTAGCTTAATATAAGCTTAAATATTCATTTTTAAGCTAACGTTACGCACACTTAAATGCATCTTATTTAAAACAATTTAAGGTAACTGCCAAAGTCATACTTATCTAAGTCTTTATGTTTTAAACGTAGTCAAGAACACATGTGGAGTACACTGCTGCAAATCAGTGCTTTATCTTTACTGCAACATTAAGCGACCTTAAAGATCAAGTAAGGATACGTTTATGTTTAAGTAGACTTTACGTTGTTCTTTAAGAGAGTGTAAAGATTGCCTGCCGATTGTGGCATTTACGATGGCTTAAGTGTGACTTAAATAATGCTTAATTATTTTGAAATATTTAAGCTTTATTTACGAACACCATTAAGCATGCTTAAATATCGTTTTTCGTGCAGTGAATGTTCCCTCCGTGTCAAATTCGTTTGAAATCTCCAAGTCGTAGGACAGAATGTTTGCTACAGGTGACTTCCATTCAAGGAATAGCCATGTGGTGGAGGACCTGGTGATTTTTAGACTCGAAGGTGGATCTGTGTCTAAATAAATCAGAGTTATGACAAGCGTACATTCACTATCAGCTTAAGTAGAGAAAAACATCTGAATATCTCAGATGGAGCAAGTTGACAAAGTTAAAGTTAATGTAACGTACTCAATTGTAAATATATTCCATTTGACATACTGCAACCAAACATTCATCATTACAATTTTACAGCTAAAATTGACAAAAAATATAAACATTCCCTTTTAAGTCTCAAAGTCTACAGATATCTTCATATTTCTGCTACAAAAGCTGTTACTGGGCCTCTTCTACGTGTACGTACCTGTCACAAAACTTGTACTGGCGGCAAGGCTCCTCCCAAACCTGCTAACGGCCACCAACTCAATGTCATACCGAGTACCGGGAATCAGACCTGTCACTTCACAGTTGTCCACGTCTCCTGACAACATTATGGACGTACGTAGACCTCTCCCTTCTTTTGTGTACGTTATGTTGTACGCGGTGAGGGCTGCTTTAGGTGGTAACCATGAGATCAGGACAGAGTTGGTTGTCTTGTGTACAACATCCAAAGCCATTGGACTGTCTGTTCCTGAGTAATAAAAAATGCAGGGTGTTGTTCAGACAACAGAAATTTGTTTCTACAATTCTTTACACTGCATGCATTTTGACATATTATCTAATTTATAAATTAACATAGGCCAGTACTTGGAATACAAGAAAGTTGACTACTATGGATAGTTGACGTGAGGAGTTAGAAAAGGACGTTGAGGGGTTACGATTTAAATTTAACAGTTACATAGTTTACATCCGCCACCCATAAGCCGCCTCACAATACCGAGTGCGCATGTAAACTAGTGATGCATTATTGTCTTAGGGTAAATTCCAAAGCCACCCAATTAAACAATATTATTTTATGTGTAAAAATGTTCACTATTCAGCTTCCAATCCCCAATGACCATTTTACACTATAATACAACCCGTATTACTCCTGGGACTTCCCACATTCTGAAAAGTACGTGATTCTGCATTAGACACGACAAAAGCACAATTGCACAACATGGATCTTTATTTCTCTAGGCATCAACCTCTGATCCCACACACAAACCCTGTTGCAAAAGAAGAGCGTTTTCTTACTTGTTGCCACAGTGAGGCTCGTTTCTGGCCCTTCGTTGTACCTGTTGATGCTTGTGGCTGATATCATATACTCTGTAGCAGGGCTGAGGTGATCAAATATCACATAGGTTTGACCTGAGGCCACAAACTGTGTGAACAGGTTCTCAGCGGTATCACTCCGCGTTATCCACACCCTGTGGCCAATAGCGAGGGAGTTAGTCCTCAGCTTCCAGGAGACTGTGATGGAAGTTTCTGTGACGTCTGTCGCCCGGAAGTCCTCTGGTGGGGGCGTCGCTAACACAAAGGAAAGTCGTGTCAAAAACAAGAAATTGAGTTTCTAAGTCTATAAGAAGTGCTTATGTCACCAACATATTTTTCAATGGCTCTGAACCTGACGCTGTTGTTTATAATTCTTGCGGATGATACGTAGTACCAGCAGAATTAGCAGCAGCAGCATTAGTAGTAGTAGTACTATAAGTAGTAAATCAAGAAGCAGGGATACACCTCTCTGCCACGGTTATACCGTCCCTTACGTCTACGAACTTACGAAGTGTCTAGAATCTAGACTAGATGCTGTAAACGTTTGCATTTGGATGTCATAAACACTAAATTTACTAAATATATATATAGGGTACATACAAAGCCAATAAAAGGAAGAACACAACTGTAAAATACTGTCTGATGACACAAAGAAAACTTTGTTTAAACTCACAAGTCGCACAAGTCATCTCCACTGGAGAGCTGTTCTCATACACGCCCACAGCTACGACTGTCACTTTGTACTCCCGGTCAGCCTGGACATCCTGGAGTACTGACCTCTCAATGTCCGGACCTACGTTTGTCGTCATCACGTCGGAAGGACTGTCACTAACCAGCGTATGGTTCACTCTGTATCCGAGCAGGCGCGCACTCGGCCGAGTCCAGCTGACGACGAGTGAAGTATAAGTCGCTGATGAACAGCTGAGGGACTGTGGACTGTCGGTTTCTGAAACACACACAAAATGTGTTAACTGTGTCTGTTTCCACCAGATACATGTATACCATAGCAGTGGCGGCGGCAGCAGGGGGGC